GACTCCTACATTCTTCAAGATATCGAGTTTTGCACACCTGCAAGTAGTTTAACAGTCATAACCGGGCCAGTTGGTAGTGGGAAATCTACTCTTCTTTCTGTGATCGCTAGTGAAGTTCCATGCACACACGGAGAAGTATCCTGCCGAGGATCTTTAGCGTATGTTCCGCAGACAGCTTGGGTATTCTCTGGAACCATACGAGACAACATTTTGTTTGGTTTGTCATACGATGATTCAAAATACACCAGAGTAATTGAGGCCTGCGCTCTGACTGACGACTTCCAGCAGTTTCCTGATACTGATCAAACGCTTGTCGGCCAACGGGGTGTTGTTTTGAGCGGAGGTCAGCGGGCTAGGGTTAGTTTAGCACGCGCAGTGTACGCTAATGCAGATGTGTATCTTTTGGACGACCCTCTGAGCGCCGTGGACTTCAAAGTTGGACGACACATATTTGAAAAGTGTATCAAAGAACTATTAAGCGATAAAACTCGGATGATGACCTCTCATCAAGAAGACCACATGAAAGACGCTGATGAAGTGATTGTGTTGTGTAAGGGGCGTGTGCTGGAAAGAGGGAGTTTCCTGGAGCTGCAAGACAAAGGAATCCTTAATAAAACTATTGACGCGCTCTATATGAAGATTTCAAAAGACAATACAGGTGAGAAGTTTGTCAGAGAGAACGAAAATGAAAGTGTTGAAGCTGCTGCCTGCTTGGCTGGGATGGAATCTCCGTCGAAGGAAACCAGGAGTCTTCTAATGCCACAAGAAGATCGGGAAATCGGTGCAATCTCTTCCAAGCTTTACTGGGACTATTTGAGAAGCGGAATGTCAACTTGGATGATTTTGGCGATAATCCTTTTATCTTTAATAGCCCAAGGTAAGACTTAAAAACAGCCTCTCAGAAAGAGCTTGCCATGATTGCGCAAATTTCATTTTAGAGTCCAAAGTAATCCAAGACTGGATTGCATTTGCAGCATGCTTTACTTCTCTCTGTAATTAGAGGGCGTAAATTATCCCTCGAAAATCTTAACATTCCCATCTAATACTGACCTACCGGCAAGGATAAAAAATGTTGAATTTGTTCCGATTTAAAATCAATTGGATGCAAAAATAGTTTCTTCGTCTTTCCTAATGAGTATCAGTGTGTGTGTATCTAAGGTACATCAAGTCAGCAATTAAAATCTTCGTTCCGTTTTATACGAAAGACAATCAACAAATAGAAAGTTTTTGACTGAGTCTTACTTAACTTTGCTTTCTCTTTCCACCTAGGGATGTTGGTTGCTCCCGATGTGTGGCTCTCGTTCTTGACAAAGCAACTTCCTCAAGATCAGAAAGATCAATCAAACTTAGTTATCTATGGATGTCTTGCTGTTGTGTCCCTCATGTTTATATTGACAAGAACATATGTATTACTCTCCTGCTTCTTGCGATGCTCTGAGCGTCTTCATGACAAGATGGTCGTTGCTACTTTACAAGCTCCTGTTTTATTCTTTGATTCGAATTCGGTGGGAAGAATCCTTAATCGATTTTCCAAAGATATCGGCTGGTTGGACGAGCAGTTACCAAGGAAATCTCAACTAGCGATCGACTCAACCTTAAATGTGCTTGCATCACTAATTGTCCCAGCTGTTATGAATCCTTGGCTTATTTTCATACTTATACCGTTGATTTCGGTTGCAATATACCTGTCCACGTATTATTTGAAGACATCCAGGGAACTTAAGAGGTTAGCGTCCATAAGTCGTAGTCCAGTATTCTCTCACATTTCGGAGACCCTTGATGGACTGGAGACAATTCGGACCAGAGAGCGACAAAGTGATTTTGTGTATCAGTTTTACAGGTGGGTTGCCTCGTCTTAATTAATTTTATACAACTTGCATCTTGGCTTAGTACAATGGATTCTTAGACATTAACTACTTGATTTATAGAGATAAAAGAAAGACGTCATATCGTCATTTCCATGAATAGTTACTGCAAGGTAATAGTATTTCCCTCAAAACAAAACGGGCACCCGACATCCTCGGCTCGATTTCCGCCGATCTCTCGTGTCCGGTCTTCGCTCCTCCCCGAGAAGAGACGAGAAGCTGGTAAAGAGCCTACCGTCATCTCAGATAGACGTTGTTTCTGATCCCCTATATGTTCAAATGATCAGAAAGCAATGAATAACCCACTAATTTTGTCCTGTTCACTTGCTTTCTTAAAGACATCATGATGTTCTGAATCAAGCAAACATCTTGGTAATGGCCGGTGGGAAATGGATCAGTGTGCGATTTGAAATTCTTGCATCCTTATTTGTTGGTGCAGTGGCTTTCTCAGCTGTTATTATGTCTCAAGATGCCGGTGAGTTTGTATTACAAAAAGAAGCCAATCCCTAATTCGATTGAGTGACCGAAGGCGCAAGAAAACCCAAATACTTACAGAGTCTTATCAGATTTAAGGTGATCAGTGGAAGGTGTAGTATATTACATTCGCTCAGAAATGAGGGAAATCAAGGATTAATATTGTGCGTAATTTTAAGTACTAGTGGTCAATCGAGTCGTAAAGTGGAGTAAATACTTTGTTACATCCATTGTTGAAATCACTGGTGATCCTTGCAATCTGATTGACTCTTATCGGTGCAATTTCCTCGCTCCCATTTTTTTCTCTAATCGCATCTTTTCCCCAACAAACAGGCCTCCCTCATGCCAACTTTATGTAGTAGTCCACATAAATGAATCTTCTCAGGAAAACCCCCTGTATTGCCTTCTTTAACTTTCCATGGTAATGGCGTGACAAGACTAAATTTTGACTGTTTAGTGTGGAAAGTCAGTTAAAATCTTCTTTGGTTAATCTTTAGTTTCAATTTTTCGTCTAATTAGCTTTTGCTGGACTTGCCTTGGCTTACGTTGTTCAAAGACTTGGGCGGTCTCATTACGCCATCCGAACAACCTCAGAGGTCGAGAATCTAATGACGTCAGTTGAACGAGTTATTACATATACCAAGCTTGAATGTGAGCCAGGATACATGATCGAACGACGGCCCCCGGAAGACTGGCCAGATGAAGGAAATATCATATTCAAAGAAGTATCCTTGAGATACTATCCGGGAGGACCACAAGTCTTGAAGAATATCAAACTCAATATCAAAGGAGGAACAAAGATCGGTGTCGCTGGCCGTACTGGTGCTGGAAAGTCATCTTTTGTGGCAGCTCTAATGCGCATGCCTGAATCGTATGATGAAATAGTTATTGATGGAATTCTAGTGAAGGAAATCAACCTCCAGGAAACTCGACGATGTATATCCGTCCTTGGCCAAAGTCCAGTACTATTTAATGGATCACTGAGGAAAAATCTCGATCTTGTTGAGCAGTTTACAGATGCAGATTTATGGCAAGTTCTAGAAGATGTGCAACTGAAAGAATCAGTCAAAAGTCTTCACGGGCAACTTGATCACGAACTGTTGGAAAATGGTGCAAATATCAGTGTTGGAGAACGACAGTTGATTTGTTTGGCTCGTTTGTTGTTGCAACGAAACAAGATCATCGTCTTGGATGAGCCCACTGCAAATGTAGATCCAGAAACAGAAAAAACAATCTTGGGCGTAGTGCGTGAAAAACTGAGAGACTCTACGGTCATCACTATAGCTCATCGATTGAACACCATCAAAGACTGTGATAAAATTTTACTTTTGAAACGTGGAACGGTAGCAGAGTTCGACAAATTTGACACTTTGGTGAACACAGAAGAAAGCGAGTTGCGTGAAATGGCGCGAATTGCAAGTTCCAAAACAACGTAACTTCAAATAGCCTGTTAACTATTTCTCAGCCACTTTCTGTAATTCCTTTATTTGCTATCTTATGTAAGCACGTTTTGTTCACAATATACTGAACTTTACCAGCTGGTTTTTATATTTTTATTATTTGTGGCTCGTGCTACTTTACCATAAAGAAGTGTTCCTCACTGTTTGTCACGTTGATTCGTATCAGAAAGATCGCTGTTTCAATATACTTGTCGACCAGTATCAAGAGAGCTATAGTAGCAGCTGGAATACTCCTTTAGAACTTTTTTTTATCCTCATTGAAGTATTTTCTGTATCGTAAATTAGGGGCATAATAATAATGTAGGGCTTTCTGTAGTTTACGATAACGATCTCGACCCCGAATTTCCTCAGAATAAACTACTTTGAGGATCAAGCACAGTTGTGGTGTGACTGAATCTCATTTTTTAAAGCAGATTACGGCCAAAAAGTAAGTTCTTGGGAATATTGGAGCCTGTGTTGCACAGGTTTACAGGATTCGCTGCTATTTATCTCCAGGGACGACATTCTAGGGATAGAGAAATGATATAAATATAATAAAATCACGAAATGGCAAAGGTGATGTTCGTTGTACTTGTTAGTGAGCCATGTGTAGGAATGCAAAAAATACAGCAAGCAATTGTATAGATGTTTTTCATATAAGGTGGTGAACGCTTCATTGGGTAGGAATAATCCAAGAACATGGAACATTTCACAAGCATAAGTTAAACGTTAGAATCCAGCCCTTATTTCTACTCTTCTACCGGCTGAAGCGAGCGTAAGAGGGCATAGTACTGTGATGTTAACCAAATCCATATTCTAAACGCACGAAATCTTTAACAAGTCAAAAGGTGAACTATGGTGTCGTAAGACCGCCATAACAAAAAACCCAATGTCTCAACAATTTTCTTGTATATCCATATTTTATTTTTATTTTATCTTTTTGTTTTCTTTTTTATCTTTTTACGCCTTCTTGTTTTTGTTAAAAACAATTTAAAATGGAATTAAAAAAGGTCAAAGCAAAATTGTTCATGTCCTATCGTTGCCATAGGGGAAAAAATAGCTAAAACGAAAAAAAATTGGTCATGGCCTAACATTGCCATAGCGAAAAAAATAATCTTCTTGGCCTAGCTTTGCCACAGACCAGAGAGCCTTTCGGGTAAAATCGTGCTCCTATTTAAAATGGCGACTGCTCGTATTAGAATCAACGATTAGCAGACGTGGAGAAGACAAGGAGTTAAAAGACGCGTTAGGTCGTTATGTGAAGCAAAACCTTCGTCGAATTGAACTTTTAGACTTTGTTTCAAGAGATTTTAGTGAATATGCGTGGAGTTTAAGGACGCCAGACAGAAGACTGGAGTACTCCGGAATCAGATACACAGACCAAACCGTTCAGGTGGACGAGGTTGAAGAGGCATTAAAGAAAGAATTGGAAGGGCCGGGAAAATTTCTTGGCTACCGAGCGTTGCACAAAAAACTTAGACAAGTCCACGAGCTTAACGTTCCGCGGGATCTTGTATATGCCGTGATGTACAATGTAGATCCAGATGCTCTCGCCGAAAGGGCTCCCCAATTTAAGAAGAAAGCCAAAGACAATTTCACATCACGCGGTCAAGCCAAGGTAACATAGGTGAGTTTCACTGTTTATATCATCACCAGCATGCAATGCCTGCAGTATTGTTGCAGATATATGCAGGCGCATGTTTTCATGCAGTGTGATTTGTGTAAGTCGGCCATCTTGTCGCCATGTTTGGGTAAACCCACTGTCTTTTTTGGGGGACTTCTTTTGCCATGGTTACTGAAAGGTAGATTACTTCATACCATAAATGACCAAATAAATGAGTCAACCATTTTATATTTAAGTGGGGGCGTAAGCTGCAAGCTGTTTTGGTGCCAAAAACAACAACAACATAACAAGAAAAAATTTCTCCACCCGCCAAAAAAAAATTAAAATTATAACTTGCAGAAGGAAGCATGCAAACAAAAACAGCCAATAATCATGCTTAACTGAAATTTCCCCCCCCCCCCCCCCACTCAAAAGTGGAATGATCAGCCTCTGAAGCCCACTTGACTACCAAGTACCATATATGAGCCTTCTAAAGCGTTGCAGACGGTAAGACCATACCGGGTTTAATCATTCAAATGCAATTAATTGCAATACATTGCAGTAATAATTGCACTTGTGGCTGGCAGTGAAGTTCTGTATGGCATTCTAGGACAGATTACATGTACAAAACAGCATGTTGCTGGGCCCTAGCTCCTTGCTAGCAATTTCCAGGTCAAAAAGGCAACTTTCACAGACTTGAATATCCAGCAACATCACATCTCTCTCTCTGACCATTTATATGAGAAGTTTGCCAGACACTGCCTTCTTGCTCAAGGAATCAGCATTTACGCTCTCACATATGCTCCCATTGTTGTTGATATATTTGCGGAATGTCCCCTCCGATGTGAAGCAATGATGTCGACCGCAGCCTTTTCTAGATACCTCTTCACCACCCATGTTGAGCCATTGAATCCTCTGCCATTGGAGGTCGCTTTGAACGCCTTACGAAATCTACCAATTCCAAATGGCTCGGGTTCAATAGAAAAATCCACGGTTGTTGGTCTTCCGGTGCGCGCCATTACCGACATGTCAAAATGAAAGATCTCAACGGAGGTTGTGGTATCGGTAATGAGCTTTCCCAATTTTAGCATGTCAACAACCGACGGGCTCTGCGGGACAAACTTGCATGGAATTTGAAATGACGCGCTTTGAGGTATGTTCCCCTGCAAGTGCATCACAGAACATCGTTTCCGACATACCGTAGTGCTTCATGCATGCTTTCTTGATGTTCCTAACAGAGATTTCGTTGATTTCGTCGAAGTCTTCGAACGAGACTGCCTCCATTTTACATAAAAGAATTGGTCCATGATTAGCGTGTGTGTATCGAGTTATGGATGCACGTGGGAAGTTTAAAGAGCACGAGAGAACTTCTCGAAACGAACTCTTAAAATAAGCACTTTTCTGCGCTTTTTAGGTTCACTCACGACACATGATTTTGATACAATTCATTTAGGCACGCGCGAAATAAGCGGTAGGGATTATCGCGACTTTTTTTGTCACTACCTTAAAAAAACAATAACAAAAACAACAACAACAACAACCATTTAGAGCGGCTGGCAAGCCATTATCAGTGTCTATTTTGGGGAAACCGAAAAAATTGGCCTCCCTCGGATTTTTAACAGCTCCCTTTTTCTGGCCTTTGTTTTCTGTTAGGTTTCCTTAAAAAAATTCTCCTAGTCGAAGTCTGTTCTGTGGATCTAAAATCATGCGCGTTAACCAAAGCTTTATCACATATATGGAAGTGTGGAGAATTAGCAAATGGGAAACTATCCCTCGTCTTGTCACATAAAGTAAAGATGAAATCAGGCACAAACTTAAGTCGCTTTTCCTCTATCTTTTTCTGTAATCGTCAGCAACTTGAGATGCACAATTAAATTAGACATGCGCATTCAACGTCTATTCTACCACACGGAAAATATAAATGCAATTTAGAGAAAAACAGCTCTGAACAACCGGCGGCTTTAATTTTCGCGTTCTGTTCTGCAATCGAGTAAATTAATTAAATTCAGTTACAATTGGTTAAAATTTTCAAGAGACTTCAAGAGAGTCGCAACATCCTGCCATCTTTTCCCTTCAAAACCCATCGGGCAAACGCAATGGGGACCTGTGTACATGTACGTAAAGGAAAACATTTAGTTTTAATGCTACAAATAACCTCATAATTCCATTGAACAAATATGGGTTCTTCGAATCGTTTCAATCAGAGATGGCTTCAAATGGTAAGGTATCTATAAATATAAACTTAGAAAGTGATGACCATGTTATTTTCAGAGCAGCCAGTGCTGCAGAAGGTCGATATGTTATTCCGAGATTTGTTTTGTAGTAGCCAAAGATGATGTTCAATTATAAAGGTGAGAACTTATTCCTTAAAAGGTATTTGAAAAAACACATATGGCCCTGTCTGAAAGAGAGAATAGAGATCGGGGTAACAACATGACAACAAATTCCCGTGCTTTAAATGACCTCACACGCCTGACGATTGATATTGATTTGTTTCAGAATCCATTCGGTGTCCTCTATTTTGATTTACGAAACCAGAAAGAAGAATTGAAGTCGGGCTCTACGAAACTTGAATTGAAATACACATTATCTACTACACCTAATGCAGAGTACAACATGTTTGCCTTGATCCTGCATGAGGAAGAAATCAGTGTAGATGTGATGTCAGGAAAGTTTGTTCTGAGAACTGTTGTTTTTTTAAATTGAATATGCTTGATTCCTGATCGTTTTGAAATGATGTAACATATATTATCGTATTAACTACGGAGATCAAAAAGATACAGAAAGCAATGTCAACTGGTGTTGGTGTGGATATCAAGATAAGCAAATCGCAGATAGTATTCACGTCATTCTGTGAAAATATGTGGCACTCTGTTTGGCCGTCTTATGACTCTGGCTCCAGATTATCGTCTAGCGTTGGCGCTAAAGTTCTTTCTGGTTTGGCAACAGTTGATAATAGAACTATCAAGTTTCAGGAAAAGGTCGAGATGAGCAGAGAATTAATTATACAAGACGCTGACGATGCTATTAACCCAGTTACAAAAAACCCCCAAGAAACTGATTTCACTGATTATCTGAATAATAAGTGAACTCCGAAAAGTATATATCACTCAGTTAACAAAATTAAATATAATAACAAGTTTGCTGTGAAGTTTTTTGACATTAGAACACAGGATTATACAGATCATGTTATTGTGTCTAATGATGGCGATTTTGGATGAGATTCATTTCATGAAGTTTTGACCATTACCATTAAACGTATGCATGCTGGACGTTACATGATCACTTATAGTGACGGTCTGAAGACAGATAAATCAAGCGCCTTAACCTTATTTGGTGAGTCTGTTAAGTCAGATCATTATATATGGGAATATTTAATCGAAATTCAGACAAAGACAAACACATAAACTCAGAATCTGACGATGACACTCTTCTCGATAACCAGGATTATAAATCAGATGTGCATACGAAATTAAACATAGACACTCTACATGACGTCTACATGAAATCAAATGTTAGTACTCTTAGATGACAAATGTGACAAAACAAACACAGAAGTGAAAATAAGGCCTGAAAAAAATTCAGGCCTGTACGGGATTTGAACCCATGACCTCTGCGATACCAACTGGGAGCTGGTCATTATGTTGGTTCCAAATGAACCTGTGAAGTGATGAATAAATGACTGTGAATATATGAAAATCGTATCTTTTTTCCAGGCTTATTTTCACTACTACCAAACCTTAGGCAGTGGTCATTAATGCCGAGATGCATGGCTTTCATATTCACTTCTTTATCCACAGTTCACACATACGATTTTCATATATTCACAGACAAGACTATAATTATTATAAAGGAATATGGCTCATAATAATACACAACAGATGGAATCTTATTTTAATACATCAATAAATCACAGCATCAATGTGAAACAGTCTAATGACGTTCATTTTGTTTGTGACTCAAACAATAGAAACAAACTCAAAATAATCAACACTGGTTTGTATATGATGACAATTTTCGATGAATACAAATCGTCTCAAAACTCGTAATACAACAGAATATAAATAAACCGTTTTACCAATTGCATTTACAATATAGGCCTTTTTATCGTCACACTCTGACTACAATCAAGTGACACCATAAGAAAGAGAATCAAAGTGCTCTGTGAGCAAACTCGTGAATCGACACATGATTTTTTAGATTATGTTTAATGTTATCTGGTTTAGGGAATTTTGTGGTTGATTGTCATATCTAGAGTACGAGCAGTAGTTTGGTGTTCGCTAATGTAGCAAAGAAACAAAGTAGCGTTGGGATAAGAAGGCATTACAATTGAAATGATCATGCTATTACATTTGACAAGGGTGGATGATGTCATGTGTTTTAAACGTCTATCATTTTTGTTTCTGGTTCAAAAGAAAAGGTTGGAAGTAAATGTGGGTGAAAAGTGAAATTTACTGTCTATCATTGTAAATATTAGAAAATCAAGGCAATATTGTCTTAATGAAAACATTAACGATTCCCTCTTTATCAAATGAGACAAACGGGAAAGAGTTTTGAGTGATACTAGTCTTGTTTTGATGATTAGCGTTACATTCACCAAGATGGCGTGACATCATATGCATAATACAGACACTACAAAATACAAAAGCAAATATTTTTATAAATTTTACACAAAAAGAAAAAGTTTAGCGTTTTTTCTTTAGGAAAGTCCCTAATCGACCACCTGTTTCAATGACGTCATCATGTGGGCTGTATGTCAATATTATTTCTTTAATTTATCACATTTTAAGATCTTTATCTCTTTGCATTTATACTATAGCAATTATTTGATTTTAACATTTTAACATCTATATCTCTTTGGGTTTATACTATAGAAATTCTTTGATTTTAACACTTTATAATCTTTCATCTCTACGGATCTATAATATAATTAATATATTATGGATTATAATGCAAAAAAGCCAGCGCAAAACATGTTTATCATAAAAACCATTTTTCAAGTAGCTAAGCAGTGATTTTACAAAATGGTTGTAGAAAGCGGAAATATATCCTTGCTGAGACTTGACAGATGATAAATATATGCTAGAATCGTATTGCGGCGAAAATGCGTAAAAAGCCCCAAGTACTATACTACTTGCGTTTGCTAAACAAGCCAGTCATTCCACTGAAATAGAACCGGCACTGAAATGCTTAACAGACTTTACTTTGTGGTTTTTATTTTTGGGAACTTAAATTTCGAAGAATGAAAAGGAGGTCGCACACTCCCCAAGGAGAAGCGCTAACTTCTGTTTATACGTTGATTTCTTCTATTATCAAATCAAACGATAGTTCACTGTTTTTCGTTTTCGTGAAAATGACGATTTCTCTCTAGCGGCGTCTAGCCATAAATGAAAAGCCTAATTTTTCAAAATTGACGCCCTTCGAGCATGAGTCAGATCATACGCAGTAAGGAAACATAATGCAATACTAAAGAATGACCTTAACACTCATCTGTTCAGCGGACAAATTAATCGAAGACCATACCTCTGTTGGTAATAACAACTCAGAATGAAATAGAATTTAAACCTCCAGCAGCTCCAACAACTGAACAAGACTAAATGCATACTACCTTAATTTATGAATATAGAGATAACTCATCATTAGTTTTACATAAAACACCCACCATTTCCGTAACGTTAAAGAACATTTACTAAAAACTGTCCAGTCAGTAAATTAGCTACGTATATTTACGTCCTATTGCTATTTGCAGTTCACGCCATTTCACCCAACTCACTTCCTTCTATCTTCATTGATGTGTCCAACTTGTCGAACTTTGCTACCTCTCCATGTTTCAAAAATAGAACTTTGTCACAGTCTAGAGTGGTGTTCAATCGATGAGCTATAGTGATGACCGTAGAGTCTCTCAGGTTTTCACGCACTACGCCCAAGATTGTTTTTTCTGTTTCTGGATCTACATTTGCAGTGGATTCATCCAAAACGATGATCGTGTTTCGCTGCAACAGCACCCGAGCCAAACAAATCAACTGTCGTTCTCCTACACTGATATTTGCACCATTTTCTAACAGTTCGTGATCAGGTTGACCGTAAAGACTTTCCACTGACTCTTTCATTTGCACATCTTGTAGAACTCGCCATAAATCCGCATCGGTAAACCGCTCAGTGAGATCGAGATTTTTCCTCAATGAACCACTGAACAACACTGGACTTTGGCCAAGAACGGATATACATCGTCGAGTTTCCTGGAGGTTGATTGCCTTTATTGGAATGCCATCAATGATTATTTCACCACAGATTCAGGCATGCGCATTAGAGCTGCCACAAAAGATGACTTTCCAGACTCCTTCCGGCCAGTAACACCGATCTTTGCTCCTCCTTCGATATTGAGTTTGATTTTGTTCAACACTTGCGGTCCTCCCGGATAATATGCTAGTGAAATGTCTTTAAGTATGATATTTCCTTCACTTGGCCAGTTTTCCGGGGGTCGTCGTTCTATTATGTATCCAGACTCACACTCAAGCTCGGTATACGTAATAACTCGTTCAACTGACGTCATTAGATTCTCGACTTCCACGGTTTTTCTTACGGCGTTTTGAGCCGGCCCAAATCTTTCGACGACGTAAGCCAGGGCAAGTCCAGCAAAAGCTGATTGAACGAAAAATTGGACACTTAGATCTTACCAAATAGGTTACTTATTGGTTTTCTTTCTTTTTCTGGTCAAAGAAGTTTCTAATCACTGGACCTTGTCGTAGGAGGTGATATAAGGCAGTGTAGGGGTTAATCATCTAAGGCAAATTCTTTTATGAGGATCGCTGCGGTTGCTTTGATGGAGGCCTGTTTGGATCGCATGTGGAAACATGCTGTTTAAAGTGGCTCTAAAACTTCTCTCGGGTCTATTCGAATGCCTTGTACTACGTATAAGCCTTTTTACTGGTCACCATATTTCTGAGAAGCTGATGTGACTGCTTTGGTTTTTATTGAGGTTTCGTTCACTAATTTAAAGATAAATTTATGATTTAGGCTTTGTTTTGTTTATTGACTATATACTCACCGGCATCTTGAGATACCAAAACAGCTGCTAAAGCCACTGCACCAATAAATAGTGATACAAGAATCTCAAAGCGCACACTGATCCATTTCCCACTGGCCAATACCAAGATGTTTGCTTGATTAAGAACATCATGATGTCTTTAGGAAAACGCACATACAAAAGAAAAATTAGAGGAGGTTGTATTGTTATTTGGTCCATTTAACTTCTAAGGGACCGAAAAAACGTCCATTAATCACTGAGACATTGCACTTATTTCTCCCAAAATAAGCAGAGGGAAAAAATTTCAGAGCTTTTAGTGGACTTTATTCCTACCCTTTTTCATAAGTGGTATGAGCAAGGGGGAGAGACCTGGGTGCTCTTGCTTGTAAGCCTTTTTTTTTAAGCAAACAACCAACAATATTCAGGTGGCAAAAAATTTTGAGTACCCTCTGTTTGACACTGTTTGACACACCCTGGGGACTGTATCTTCCTTATTAAGGTAATTATAATAAATCCACCTTTAAAACTCCTCCACAAAATCACTTTGTCGCCCTCTGGTTCGAATCGTGTCCAGTCCATCAAGGGTTCCCACGGGATTCGAATCAAAGAACATAACAGGAGCTTTCAAAATGGCAACGACCATCTTGTCATGAAGACGCTCAGAGCATCGCAAAAAGCAGGAGAGTAATATAAATGTTCGTGCCAAGACAAATATAAGTGCTATTCCAGTAAGACATCCGTAGACTTCTAAGCTCGATCGATCTTTTTGATCTTGAGGAAGTTGCTTTGTCAAAAACGAGAGCCACACGTCAGGAGCAGCCAATAATCCTGAAAAGAAAATGGCATGGCTGTCGTTTCATCTGAAATCTGATACACTTTAGAATTTTGCGCCTTTCTTAATGGTCATATTGCATGTGAATGTTGAGATCTTCTAGGTACAAGATGCATGAAAGTGAGAAGGATAAGGTTTTCCAATTTTTTTGGCTAGTGCAGTACCAGTGTCAAATGCGTGCTCCGCATGTTTCCGTAATTTATGTCAAACCCTATTTCTTATCATTGATATTTCATAAGCTATGAAGTGAAGCACCTATGGTTCTCCCTCAGTTCAGTCTTAAACATAGAGTTACCGCATGGCACATCAAGAAGTTTCAAAACGGCAAACAACCTCACTTGGAATACCATGTAAAAGGCTCCAGTGTATGACGGAATATTTGCCAAAATTCTTTGCAAGGTGAATATTTTAAGTTTTTAGCCCATACTTTAATACATTCTACATGTTAAGGTAATTATATCGGGCGCATTTCGATTTACTGTTGTTAACTTCAAGCAATTAGGTTATAGCCAAGCAGAAGAAAACAACACATCGCAAATGAGAACTCAAATTGAAGGCAAATTAACCGCCCGAGGTGCGGAAACTTTTACGAGAGACCATGTCGAAATTTTATGTGAACAACTATAGCTAATCTTGTGCAGTAGAGGGATCCACAGTGAGGTATTTGGAAAAGCCTCTCTAAGTCTAACCTTGGACAACTATAGTGAAAAGGGTTATCGCCAAAATCATCCAAGTAGACAGTCCGCTTCTAAAATAGTTCCAGTAAAGCTTAGAAGAAATTACTCCGATTTCCCGATCTTCTTGTGGCGTCAGAAGACTCCTGGTTTCTTTCGATGGATTTCAATTCCAATCAAGTTGCCAGAAGCTTCAACACCCTTATTTTCTTTCTCTCTCGCAAATTCCTCTCCTAAACTTCCTTTCGAAATCTTCTTGCGGGGCGGGTCAATAGTGTTATTAAGGATTCCTTTGTCTTGTAACTCAAGGATACCTCCCTTTTCCAGCACACGGCCCTTATATAACACAATCACTTCATCGGCATCTTTCATGTGGTCCTTGTGATGAGAGGCCATCATCCGAGTTTTATTTCCTAGTAGTTCTTTGACACATTTTTCAAATATGTGTTGTCCAATTTTGAAGTCTACGGCACTCAGAGGATCATCCAAAACGTACAGATCTGCATCAGCGTTCACTGCAAGTGCTAAACTTACCCTAGCCCGCTGGCCTCCGCTCAGAACAACACCGCGCTCGCCGACGCCTGTTTGATCGGTGCTAGGAAACTGCTGGATGTCGTCAGCTAGAGAGCAAGCTTCAATAACTCTGGTGTACTTTTGCTCCTCGTATGACAGACCAAACAAAATTTTGTCTCGTATGGTTCCAGAGAATACCCTAGCCGTTTGCGGAACATACAAGACACTTCTCCGTGTATGCATGGAACTTCACCAGCGATCACTGATAGAAAAGTAGATTTCCCACTACCAACTGGCCCGGAGATGACTGTTAAACTACTAACCAGAGTGCAAAACTCGATATCTTGAAGTATAGGAGTCTTGTCGCTCCGCTTGCTTGTACGCCAAACTTCTCACACGTAATGACGTTTGATCTTGTAATTCATCAGCTGTGGAAAGACCTCTCTGTTTTTTCTGGCAATCTAATGAATTCCTCTTCATCTCAGATGGGTTTTCAGCTTCAATTTCTGTTTCTTTTTGGCTTGAGCGATCGCTTGAAATGACTCGCAAATTTTTCAAAAGGAGAAATTCTTCAATTCTACCAAGCGAGGCATAAGCTTCGTATCCCTCTAACAAGGCAAGCCCAAGGTAAGTGCCGATACATAATGTGAGCATGTTGTCAAATGAAACCAACACAAAGACATCGACTGGTGTAAGAGTTTCCTCAGTCAGCAAGGGTAATGACTGACAGCAGCATTGCAATGATAACCGAAGTGAATCTGAGGGCCAAAACACCTGCGCGTAGAACACATTTCTTTCGAATAATGGAAATTTCATCTCTGAAAAAAAAGGAAAAGCAAAATTGGGATATTCTGATAAAAATTGAGACTGACAGACATACGAAGTGGTCTTGGTGTTCTTGGTGATATCTTTGATTCGCTATCTAAAGATTATGCCAACTACTGCCAGATAATTCATTTCGCACGAAATATGGAAACGACGGCAAAAAGTAAAATTGGAATCGAGTATAGGAACAAGAACAACATTACTTCATCTAAGAGCGCATTAAACAGCCTGCATAAAACTTGGGTTCACTACACAACTGTCAGTTTCATAATATCTTTACACACAAAATATATTAAAGTTCACACGGCAATCAGGTGGACAATCAGACATAAGAAACCAGGTCAATCACTTTTCCTGTTGTGTACTGGAACAATGCGTCTTTGCTGAGTGGAAGTGTCTAAAAAAGAGGAGTTATTGTTTTCCAGTAAAAATGAAGCACGGATATTGAGTTTATAGCCTTCTTATTGGCTGCATGGAGATATGTTATGACCTTATGACGAAGTTCCGAGCTCATAACCCAAAACCGACAAATATGGTCAATGAATTTGTCAGCGAAGTGAGAAGAAATTTTCTGTGAGTGAGCCGCGAAGAGATGGCGGAAAAAGATTGGTTTGCCCAAGAGCCTACAACTAGCGACTCCAATATCCCGTCGAAAAAACTATTTTAATTCGGTCGGTAAAGATACATCAAGGTACGTACAGAAATTTAAGCGGTCTTTGTGTCACTGACCTTTTATATTAGCTTCACAATCCCTAACTGAAGCGCTGAAATCTTGTCTTAAATCCTTTTACGTGTCCGCGATCAAACAAGATTGCACATTTTACAAAAAAAAAAAAAGTCGACCTGAGCAGCTATGGATGCTTTCTCCACTTGCATTCCCTATGCAGACAGATTAATTTCCACATGAAAACGTTTCAGTTTGGACTACTTCAGACTGTGCAAAGCTTTGTAAACTTTCAGAATGTCTACTATTCCATTGAAGGACATTGAAAATTACACAGCGCTCATTATTTTATATTCATCAACCGGCATGAAGTTGTAAATCATGTTATTGTTTGGAGCGAAAGTTACTTTTGTTTACCGGTCGTTGTTAAACCAATGCAAATGAAAGCTGGTAGGTATAGAGTTATACATCAGGTACAGAGATATACATCAGCAGTTGTGTGCGTTTTTATTAAAACAGTTATTCGATTAAGACCTTTGCTTTTCGACTAAATTATTACATGCTCTACATTTTCTATAAGTAAGAATACCTACCTTATGATAAACAAGACCTTTAAGTGCACTACTCATTGTTATTCCCAGTAATTCACATCTGTACATAATCATTTGAGCTGTCACTCTTTCTATCAAGGCGCTGAAAAAAAGAGCCAGCGCACAACCATAGAGAAAAATTTCTTCTGTGGCTCAGAAGACATCAGCGATGCAATTAGATATCCAAGGAGCAAAGGAAGAGGAATACGGAAGAATGAGCGAAAAATACCCGTGCAAATGAGGATCATTAGTTCCCTAAAAGAGATTGTTCTTACGACGCTTTTCCAAAGCTTTGGTCGTCCTCGCGTAGTTTTATGGGATTTTCTCTCTTCCCTCCTCCAGTTCTCTTGAAGATTTTGGGTTAGGAATGAAGTAATATTTTCTTTTGAAAGAGGTAAGAAATCACTTTGCTCCAACACTTGATTTTGACCTGTCCTGAAGACACTGTTCATCCATAGGAAGAGAACATAAGAAACAAAGCCAACTTTTTGCGGAGTTTTTTCGTCGTTTTGTGAGATCTTCCTATACCCATGCCTTGTCATCTCTGGATAGGAAACAGTTAACACTGAATTCTAACAAAGGAAGTAAAACAAAAATGAAGTAATTAATAATATTTAAAATTTTAAATTTTTAAATTAAAATTTAAATTCAATAATTTTTCTATATACCGACGCAAAGGTAGCCGTTAAGTCATAAAGTGGCTGGCAGCCTCAACGTACGTTCTCTTACTTTTGCTGGATGGAATTTGGAAAAGCGATCAAAAAAATTATAAAACGAGTGTGAGATCAACAGAGACATCGTGTGTCGTCATATGTTTTATAAGACTCTGTTTAGAGCAGTTAGAAGCCATTAAGTACACGGAAGTGAAACTTCATTTCTTTGACTAGGCCTATCGCGCGCTCTAAGCCTAAGAAAGCCAGTATCGATCGATAAAGCGCAATAGTAGCTTTTCGAAACCCTTTATTTGAATGATTAACCTTAATATTGGTTGCGTGGACGAAAAAAAATGAATCCCTCTCCCCAGGGATGTTACTAAAAGCGGTGTTACAGTGTTTTGGGTAACCCCGAGTTTTGGGTATCCCCGTATTCCCTCTGGGGATACCCAGAACACACAAGAGCGAATTAAACAAGAGTCTGCATAGGGCAAGTAACATGGCATGCAGACGTCAGAAAATTGTCATCCAAAGAAATTTCTCGCAGTTGAGATTGTGGTTGGTGAAGATAAGTGTACAACTGCTGTGAAGCTTCTTGGAAAGAGCGATCAGTCAGCAGTTCCATGTGGGTTGCTTCACATGAAAACAGTGCAACCGATTGATTTGAGACACGCACGGAAGGAGGATATTTCCTCTTGTTGGGATTCCGTGTTTTAGAAAATGACCGAACCTTGTACTTTTTGACTAGCTCTGCGTCTGTGAGTAATCATAACTGTCTGACTTGTTTACCATACGTACGTGTGAGTACGTGTGGGAAATTTTGCTCTTATACGTCAGAGACCTCAGCACTTGCCTTTTCAAGCTAACGACTGCAGAGGAATTGAAAAATTTTATCAAAGAATGATTTTATTTGCACGACCATGGGACGCGCCAAGCAGATAATGAATTTATAAGGCTTCAAAGGGGTAATTTGCATGATTATCGGTGTACTTCCAAAGTTTTTCCGCAAACACGTGTAATCTCGTCCTTGAAGTGTGAACGAACGAGCATATTTTCGCGCTAAATGGAGGCTATTTTGTTTATTATCCTTCAAATATTTTTGCTAATCACGGGAAAAAAAGTGTACGAACGGTTAACCGTTCACTGCGTGGGATGTTCTCTTTTCAGTGTTCTCTGGTACGATTTTATGAACATGAAAACATTTCCCCTCTTTTTTAACAACCACAAATCGCTTCTCCTTCCTAAATTGATCTTAAAGGAAGACTTACCCTTGTGGACGTAGAGCTCGAAATATATCCTAGATTATGATCTTTCAAATATTCTTGCTGGTCTAAACGTACTAAGTTAACAAATATTCCCCAACTAAAACTGGGGGACCGGTTCCTCAAAAGGTTCAGTAAAGCTAAGCCTCAGTAAAACTTGATGTTATCAAAAGCTCAGATAGCCAAGTTATACCGGGGCCTGCTTAAATCATAGTCAAGAGAGCGTTGATAAGTTCATACATCCTATTCTTAAGATACACGTGTGATTTAGCTACACTTTGATTTGATTTTGCAGGCCATACATACAGGAAGAAGCTTTACAAACCTTTGTAATTGAACACTGGTCTGTTTCAAGGCAAAAGACTCTTAAACATCTATCCGCGAGCAGTGAAATAGTAATTTTCTTGGATACTATTGGATCAACAGTACTGTACCGCCTTGTGAACAGAAGGAAGAGGAGTCAAAACATTTAAACCTCGTATCGTCAGTGGAAATGGAAAACGAATTCCCGGATGTGTTGATTTTGATCTCACATTTCATCCATATGTTACATTCCAAGCGTCATTACAAGTTAAGTTTGGAGCTAAGACCCTACGTATGGAAAGATAAGATTTCAGCTCACCTACCATATCCATCCATGGCTTGGCTGAAGGAATGCCACAATGCTCAGGCACTTTCACTTCAAGGTGAGTCAAAAGTTGGTTAAATGATATAATAACAAGCCTGAGATAGGGAAGTTCAACCAAAAGATGTTCTTCTTACAAAGTTTTCTTTTTTCTTTTATCGAAGGCAAAGAATAAAGTGTCCTTGGGACACGATTATTCTAATTGGGGTCACACGCATTCATTCGCGTGAGAGCCATCACGTGAACTTTATCTGAGCGATACATCAACCCCGAGGTAGTTATATCAACTGACTATTCTTTTTCCTTCAGAAAATGACGCCACAGATTTCAATGCTTGATAGATATTAAATGTGTCAAACGCTGCAACTATTAAGCTTGTGGTCTTTTTTGAGTGTCGTATGTCATTTGAAAGAAACAACTCGCTTCGCAAAAAATCTAGAACATTTAGAGTTAGGTTGGTTGTTGAATTTAGCCTGAAACAGTACTATTCAAGAAATTTTGAGTTTTACAGAGCGTGGTCAGTAATCTTTTCAAAAATATCTCGATGTTAAAATGGATATGTCATTTTCAAGAAATATTCGGTTTCCCTCGTAATCAGATAAACCTCGTAATCAGTTAAAATTACGTCAACGGGGAAATGATCTTCTTTTAATGAAGCTCCAAATAACAACCCGCCCATATCCCGTTCACCAAACCATTTTTAGCAAACATACTTTACGGCCCCATTCGTGAGGTGAATTCTATAAAATTAGATTTCCATTAACCTTTCCTAAATTCTAGGGAAGTCTTTGGTAAATGTGTGAATAACTAGGAGCTTTTACTGATAGACAATTGATGTATGTTACTTCTCACGAAATATCTTAGACTAAGATAAAACTTGCTTTCATACCTTTCAGCATATCTTAGTAATTAAAGCAACACCAATCAGCTCTCTTTACATGGCTATCAGTTTGTTAAGTAATAGAATACCTTATTACATGGATGACAGCGCAAGTAGGCATAATGAAACGAATTCTGTGCTCTGATTGTCTTCCC